GCTGAATGATGGCCATTTTAAGGCTGAAAATGCATCAAAATCACATATTTTCACAATTCCGGAACCTGATCTCAGTCATGCATGGATGGATTTTGTTCAGATTTAGAACAATGTGTTGTACATATGCAGGTGCATTTCGGTCATGATCTGCTTTGAATGTATATGTCACTCAAATATGAACGGAACGGGGACGTGTCATTGACAATGACTTGTAATATTTATTTTTGTGAAGTAAATTGCGATACTCGGATTTCTATTGCAGGACGATTTAGCTGATGATGATATCATGATACTGGACACTGGTAAAGAAGTATTTCTGTGGGTGGGACCTACTGGTAGTGATATTGAAATTAAGTTAGCTTTCAAGAGTGCTCAGGTTAGTCTCTTTATACTTATAGATTTGCAGCTGCTGTGTAACAGACTGACTGAATGTCAACTCCAAAATGGTTGCTTCAAACAAATTTACCGAACAAAGTAGGAAGTTATGTTCACGTTTCCAGGCACTATGAAGTGTGAAAATACATAAATTGCAATATTTTGCCTACCACATGCAAATTTTGATTTGATGGAAATGCTAAAATTTACAAGTATGAAACCTGTCTAGTTTTTTGACAAACTGAGTAAAATTTGATTATAATTATTTCGAAATTGCACATGCATGTCATATCAACCTTCTAAATGACTGCTGTTCAGTCTGTGCAATTGTCAATTTCCAACCATTAGTCTGCAAGCTACTGATAGTTCTTGTTTTACCAGAAACACCTGATTCAGTTTTCTGATGCCCACACATGCGCTAAGTATATCCCAGTCTCTGAGGTCAATACATGATAGCATTCAATAGTTGTGTCTATGTGAGAAGTAAATGTATTTAGAGTCAACTAAATTCTAGTACACTATTTTGAGATCGCTCTATCAATGTGCATTTTTTTTTTCAAATATTCCATATTTATCACGCATTGTGACTGTCAATATATTTGGCATTAGTGTGCTAGTAGTACAAGTGTGTGTTATAGGAATTCCATTTTAATTGCACTAGACACAAGTGCACTAGACACAGTACTTTAGGATTGTACAGTGTTGGGGGTTAGGGTTTGTATAGTGTACAAGTTTTGGTTAAGTTTATAGGAATGGTTTGGAGTTTGGAAAATTTTTAAAATAATTATTTACCAGCATAAGATTCAAAATAACTGGGTACACCATCTTTGATCTACACCAATTCCATATCTTGTTTTCACTTACTATCAAGGCTGAATAATTTATCTATCTTCCAGGTTTATATCCAGCATTTGAGGAACAAAGATCCTGATCATCCACGCAAGTTATTTATGGTCCGGAAAAGTAAGGAATCCTGGAAATTTGTTCGATGCTTCCATGGATGGGGACTTTATCGTCAAGCACCAAAATAAATAAAAGTTTGTAGTGTTCACCATGCATTAGACGGGGAAAAAAAGATCAGCGTGCACTTAAGTTTGAAAGTTGCTTTTCATACCTTTATTAGATGGATGGGGATGACAATGGAATATTATAAAAATGAAGGAAAAAATGCACTGCACTGTTTCAGGCTGATCTGTATTTTTCGGAAGAGGGGGGGGGGGGTTACTTATTGGTTCCATATACTTCCCCAATTATATTTTAGTGTTACAGTAGTATTTTATTTTGGTTTTCCATTCAAAAATAATATTAAATATTAACTAGTCAATGGCCGAGTCTACTTATTAATATCAATATTTACGTATCTTTCACATTGTCAGCTAACAATTGTCCATCTTTCACATGGTATGTTGCCAATTTATGTACACTGAATTATTTATTGTTAGCAGAAACTTATAATACTGATGATTATTAATAATTTATTCATTATCATATCCAAGCATATGTTCTGTATGTGCTCTGATAGAAATACTCTAACAAAAAAATGCAGTTATTACATGACTTGCGTGTCGTCTTTGTCATTTAAAGCACATGCATTATGAATATAGTACACTATTAGACCATTTTCTGTTCACTGTGAGGATGCATTATGGTGAAAATGAAGGTAAAACAGGACAAAGCGTCACTTAAATACACATTTGATGTTGAGCAATTTTGATGTCGTAAAGAAATCTCAAAGGCGTATTTCTCTTTGTTTGACATTGAACTATAGAAAAAGGGAAATTCAAGTTCAAAAGACAATCATTTGATTTTTGTAGCAAAAGTTTGAACAATGTCTTTCACACATTATGCAAGATCACATGGTAAATAGTAAATCAACTACAAACACATGTATTACATCATGAAAGCAAGGACAATATCTTGTAACTAGATTTGTCTCGTTTACATTATTGAAATTTGATATTTACATGTACATATATGTAAAGACTTGAGTAAAGATAGTTTGTCTATGGCTAAAAGAAAAGGTCTTGCTTCTCGTCTTATGCATGTCAGTTTCAAACTTACAACTCAAATAGATAGAACAAAAGAAATAAATGATGAATTTTGAACATACATCTTGTGGTATTAAATAGTCTTAATACAAACAAAAAAATTAAAACTGATCATTTTTCTCCAAGACGAGAAGCAAAACTTTTTTTTAATTGAGGCGATTTTTGAATGTTGTTTATATACAGCAAGTATTTAACCGAAGAATAAGCCATTGATAACTAACTGACCAGATAAACCTAATCTGTAATACAATGTGGTGAATTGAAAGTACAGGTTTTTAAGTCTGAATATTGGAGTTGTGTGTTAGAAGTAACATAACCTGACGATTTATATTCTTTTTAAGTTTATTCAAAAATTAGATCAGTTACCCCAAGATATTTCAATCCTCCCTACACTTTCAAATAACCTGTCACAGGGAATATGTTCCAACATTTTTAGAAATTACTGCGTTTTTGCCACAACTATTAATAATGTACAAGTACAGCAGTAATGTCCACATGCAATATTTATAGATTTAATAGTGCTTGAAATGTATACATTATGTAATATGGAATGTTATATTTCTACTATAATTATACTTTTTAAAGTTATTCTGTTTTATGGCTATATTTTAATTTTTTTTTATACACTGAAATAAAAAAATGATAGAGAAATAAGACTGTTGCTCTAAGTCTGTAGTATGATCTTGAAGTCCTTAGAAATTGCATTGTATATCCAGGTTGAAGTACTTTTCACATAAAACAGAATTTGATTACTTCATTCATAAATGCTGCTGGGATCTGAGTCTTTACTAACATTTGCACAGTTTCCCCACTAATGGGGGGGGGGGGGGTCATAAAATTAGCATACCCGGTAACACAGGAGTGTGAATAGAAATTCATGGTGTTAGTAAACTATAGACAAGTTAGGTGTGTTCAATTGCCACCTGAGACCCAACTATTGCAAGTATCTCTAAACCAATGTTATGTACAGCCTTGTGCCCAGGCAGGTTTTTTCATTTTTTTGAATCAACACATTTGATGGAAGAAAGTGAATCAATATAACGGTACATCTGTTCCTTACATCACCCAGAATGCACGGTCCTCAAAGTTTTTTTCTTATAGCTATCTCAAGTGAGATGATCTGAACAACAGTGATTAGCCGCAAGGCTGTTTCCAGGAAACGTGGCCAGCATACAAATGGTGATATTCAAATCAAAATATCTCTTGTATACACATTCGTTGTTTTAATTCCATCCCCATACTTGGAGTGAATGATCATAAAATGAGCAAGATGATACAATATTATTGGGATACGATGATGAGCCGACTTTTTGATACCAGTCAACGCCATATGCTAATGAGTTGTGACCATGGTAGGACTTCATTATTGATACGTTGGAATCTGGAAAAAACAACAACCTAGAGTCACAATCAATCTGCACATGTATAGGGCATTATAATCAACAGAAAAAGATTGCCTAATCTTGGTTTTTGTCATATGAGAACTGTCACTCATGTCTCAGAGTTCAGCTTGCCAAAACCTACAACTGGATGTAGCGCCCTCTATAGTCAAAGTATGCAAGTGAGTCAAGCCATAGCGGGTGTATTTCTGTATTTTTCTTCTGTGCACATAAACCAAAAATTGCATTTGTTGTACACTGAATCATGAAAATATTACAACTGTGTAGAAAATTTGACATTTCTAATTTAGCGTTTAAAATGTAATAAAGTTAATAATGAATAACTAAAAAGTAAGTAAGCAAAAGTTGAGTAAAATAAGTGTGCTTGTTTATTCTTTTTTCTTGTTCATTTACAGTTACTCAAGTATAATAAACCAGATGGGACGTACATATAAATGCTTAATTAATCATTAAACGTTGTCATAAAATGATAATCCATAGTTTCAAACACTGTTTGAGGTTTGTAATGAAACTTAAGCATATTTTGAATTGAATTGAACTACCATGCCATAACTATAGGTTTACAACCATCAAGCATAACAATTTAAAAATGGATGATTCAAGACAGCGTTGATCCGAAATATGTGAAGAGGAAGTAGAAGTGCAAGTACTTTTTAATTAAATAAGTAGGGGTCACCAGGAAATCTCTAACAATGAAGGTTAATATTTAGTATAAACATTTCAATACATGACTTACCATCATTACAATCCAGTATGTGATAACCATTATGCATACATGCAGCCAATAACCAGACTCCATTCACTGGGTGCCATTTTAATCTCCATACACCACCCCCAATAAGTGTACTTGACATTGGATGTCTCATTTGACGGGTATCCCATAACAGTATGTGTTCATCATAGCTGAAAAAAGTAGCGATTCCAGGTGTCATCTTTAAAGGTTGGTACAGTAGTTGTTGCGCTGCTCATGCGCGACATCTGTGTTGATAAACATTGCATTTCACACAATCCAAAGCACTTTTCTAATGAGTTTTGCCCTCGGTACCACTTGCACTAATTACTGCTAGCGATACCATTATTACTTAATAATAATTTGTATACTGCTATATTTCACACACGCACACACATATCAAAAACGCAACACAAGTGTGTGGAATGCATGTACCAGTGCGATACAAGCAGGGACTAACATGAACTCATTGTATATTAGCCTGGTATAGAGGAAGTGATGCACAACACTGTCTACAACATGGTTTCTATTTCTAACTAGTTTGGTTGCTAGCAATGAATCCTTTGAATAGAAAGAATTTGCATTCCTATGGTAACATACATGGTAACCCGTCTAACTACAAACATAGATAGCTCAGACCTACTTAGCTATAGAATGTGGCAGTATACGAAATAGCATGCATTAAATCAAGAAAAAGTGTATTGCACAGAGATAACGATTGCCGGTTGTAAATAATAGATCTCACTCGTAAATCTGAGCTGATCTAAGAACACTGTTCTGTACCAATTACACTCATGGAAGTTCTCAAGTATCAAGATTGTCACTTAGCTGTAGATGCAATGAAATCAAACCTCCAACAAAGCTTGACACAATTGTATCAATGTCACTAGATATGGTGCATTCACCAGGGTTTGCTTTATCTTCTTTATCTGTAAATCTTTATACTTTTTTATTTGATGTATTTTACCTTCCTGTTGATAAGATATTCTCCCTGCATCTGTTGCTATGGATACTGCATACTCCCATTTCATGCCTAGAAGGGACCACAAGTTTGAAATGAACATAGCAAAAAATAGCATAGATAAATTATTGAAACGACAACTGAACAGGAAGACATTCAACATTCAATTTTTGTTGGGAGGTCAACACCTGACAAAAGAAAACAACATTTGCTAGTGAAAAGTTTGCTATTGCTATAGTTCTAATCACTAAGGACATACCTATTTAACTTCTCTAACTATTGATGGCTGTATTCAATTGGTGGTAGCACAGCCATCTTTATACGAGTTTGACTGTAGTCATATTAATGTATATTAATGAGGTCAGATGTGCATAAATTAAATAGAAATGAAGACAACTTTCATCAATATGTCTAACAAACTGACAGAGGACCACTAAAGGTCACATGACCTAATTAATTATGCATACATGATATAACTCAGGCATAAAAATAAGATCACAAATATTGGTTGTGATTTTATCGAAACATGATCTGTTATGTGACCTCATTAGTTATGCAAAAACAACTATTCTGAACATGATGCAGTATTCATGAAATACTGAACACAAAGTGTACAATGAGTACCTTTTACTGACTAGAACAGCTGCATCACATGCTGTTCTTGTATCCCAACATTTTAGTTTACAATCGTCACCACCTAGAAGATGAAACACACAGATGTATGAGAAACAAGCCATGCATGGCACAGTCCCCGTTAGTTATCATATTTAAGATATATAGTTTTGTTTTAGTTTTAGATTTATAGTAATATAGCTGGAATATAACTATGTCAGGAATATGATTTTTTAACATTAAAATGATTGACATTTGTATCTGATCGTCAAAAAAGTACTGGAACAACATTCAAAATCAACCATTTTGAATACATGTATATATATAACATGATGTATAACGAATTTATAAAATTTGAATATAATCAGTCAAAGCATTTAAGAGATATGGCTCTAGAAGCCCAATCATTACAACAAAATGGCCGCCAGACAGCCATTTCGAATCCGATCTGAAAAATAAATGATGTGCATCAGGAACCTGTAATATCTAACATATGTACCAAGTTTGAACGAAATCCATCCATAAATGCTTGATATTTGATGATTTTTTAGCACAAAAATGGCCACCATTTGGCCATTTTGAATAGGATCGTCAAACCAATATATCTGTCTATCTATGACGTGATGTATAATGAATATTTAAAATTTGAACATAATCAGTGAAAGCAAGTCAAAATGACCGCCAGTTGGCCATTTTGAATCTTATCCGAAAAACAAAATTATTTGCATCAAGGTCCCATAATGTCTAATGTATATACCAAGTGTGAACAAAATCCATCTGTAAACAGCAGAGAAATGCTTGTTTTTGATGATTTTAGCACAAAAATGGTCACCATTCGGCCATCTTGAATCAGATCATGAAACAAATTGACGTGCATATGTATACTATCATGTATGATGTATGTGTGAAGTTTGATTGTGATTGGTCCAGGCATTTCTAAGATACAGGTCCGGATGGACGCACAGACGGACGCACAGAGGTCAAAACATAAGTCCCCGTTTTCTGACTGTGTCCGAACGGGGACTAAAAACCAAAACAGCATAAAATTGCAAATCATTCTCCAGCCAAAATATGTTTGTAATTTTATAATTTTTGTGTATTATTATTAGCTTTCATAGTTAAAATTAACAATAACTGTTACATCATACACGGAGCGAACCATGGCATTATGGAACATGACAATCTCACTATATCTGTTATATATACCTGAATACACTACGCATGGCTGCCAATAATCAAATGCCGCTATCCATGCTTCATATTGATGAGCTGACCATTGCAATATAGATGTAACACCTGAGTCAGTGTAGTTACATAGTGTCACTTCACCAGCTGAATCACTTACTACTATGTTAGGATTGCCACTGTGAATAGGAAAACATGGCGAATGTAAATTATAGAAATATACCATAACTAACACTTATAACATTTTTACTACTAGACTTTGTTGCCCAAATTTGTCTGCACTTTTTACTTATATTCTTCAATATGGAAATGAACCCTATTATCATGAGAGCCAACAGACAAAATTTGAGTCAATTTTCAGTTTTTACTTAAAAAAATGTAGCTATTTTTGTTCCAATCTTTTGAAGGAAAGAATATAAATAGGACTATTCTGTGAATTATCGAAATACACCATATTAAAATTAACACTTTTAATGTTGCCAATGCTAAGGCATTGAATAATGAATAAGGATAACTGAATAAGCACCGAACAAATAATTAAATAAATACAAACAAAATGAGAAATGCATACTGTCTATAATTGGGACTTTGTATCATGATCACGGTTCTTCCATAAAAGTAGTGTACAGCAATAACCGAATATAGGACATAACAAACTTATTTTAATTAATATAATACCCACATTTAAATATGATCAGATTATAATTGTGTTAGTGTAATCACAAGGGAAACAAATTAGTATGGAGAAAACAACAAAGAGGACGAAAATATTTCCTTCCTATATAATACAGGTAACACATCTACCGGGTATATTTTATTAAATGCAACATATCATCATGATTTAGTATAATGGACAGTGCGCTCTCAACTGTTGAACTGCTTCAGTGATTTTGTTACCTGCTGTATTTACCAGTTGACCAATCCAAGGATAAGGCAAGTCTGTTTTCTCCTATTTTAAATCTATCACTTTGTTCTATCTCATCCTGTTTTTTGGGAGTAAATAAAAACATTTCATTATATATAGGAATTAAATATGGTAATGAACTGCTGCGTTATTCAAATTAAAATCAGACAGGATTTGCGGCACCAATTAAAACTGAAACATCCCAAAGATATGCTCTATAAATTATTTACTGTACATACCATGTTCCATTGGCAATTTATATATCAGACACGTACACTCAGAATGAATTCAGACTGTCTCTAACTGTCTTCAGCACACATTGGGAGAGTACAAACTACATGTGCACAGATTAATCACATTAGGAAATTGAAAACTCTACCTTAAGTTTATAAAGGACAATGTCAGCACTTGCAGTCACCACAGCGAGAACTGGTGTACCATCCAGAACATTATGACACCTAAATCATAAAAATTGACACAGTAAATGAAAGTGTTCCAACAGCTACAGTATTTGTTCTATTAGAAGTGCACCTCCAATATAGATACAATTGCATAAATGGTCTAAAGGGGTGGCAGATTTTATGTCAGATGATGCACTTCATTTGCAGGTACTTATCCACCATTTAAAGTCCTCTCTGCATAACAAGTTTTGACTCAAAATCTTCATTGTGGGTTGGACTTTATATCCCAGAAGATCTAGCCACAAAATATCCTGGGGTTTTATTCTATGAAAAAGTTGAAGGTTACAAACATAATTCTTATTACTAGCACAGTCCTGTGATAGAGGGAGTGTGTTACAAGTATCAAAGCTCACAGTCTGCACTTTGTACCATTTTCCATGTAATAGAATGTGAGACTCACAGACAAAACAAGACAAACAAATCCTTGTTACCATTTCAAATCCAAAATGGCATCACACTCTTCTCTGTAGACTTCATTCAAAATACTGTCATCTTGGTGTTGAGCTGAATCAGCAGCGTCATTATCCTCAGTCAACCTATAACCCAATAACCTTCCCTTTCTTGTTTTTGCAGCTTTCTGAAATTCAAGATTTTCTTCCGGCGTATCAATCTGTGTGTGGAAAAACGCATATTACAATGAATCCATATAAATGCCATAGTCCCTGTTATATACTGTATGGTTACTGAGATTACACTTTAAATACAGGTGTCATAATTTTGAACAAAAGTGAAAATGCATTATTAAATTACAGAATAAATAATGTGAAAACAGTGTAAAGCAGAAACTTGGGGACATTATAAAAGTTTTTATAAATATAATTGGCTTCAAAATGGCTTCAAATTGACCAATCCAGAAATACTATTGTAACATCATTGTGAATTCTAACATATACAATGCATGTAAAATAAATTGTTTGATTTGAAATTTGAACACACACTGCGCGACGACTACCAGTCTTTAATGAGGTAGTTCAACATAATATCATCTAATCAGCACATGCTTGGAATAAGGTGGCAGCCAGATTCGCCAAGATACAGGAATGCATGTTTTTTTCTTTTGTGCATACATTATGGGCATAGACAATTTTGAGCTCTTGAACCAAACATTATTAAATATTTGAATCTGAATGGAAATTAAGATGCTGAATTGTTCGAGTTACAGACATCGAGTTTCAAATTTTGTAACTGTTTCCTAAACTACTTGTATACAAATTACAATAATTAATTTTAATTAATTTGACATGCACATTGCACAGCAATAAATCAACTAATAGCAATATCTTTAGTGATTATTGCATCTTTAGAAATACAACTTTTTTGTTTTGGTTTATACATAAATTTACATAAATAAATATTATAATTGCAGATAAAAAAGTCAAGATTACAAATCAAGAGAATGTTCATTTCTTAAAATGAAAGAATTATGTCTAAAATCACCTGCGCACATGCGGAAATTATTTATAAACAATGACATGCTATGGCCATCTGACGCATGCGCTGGTGATAACTCCCACTTTAAATAAATTAAATTTTTTCTATTTTATTTTTCTTTTTCAATTGCTAAATTATGTTTAATTAAAGGTTCTGAATCTAATTACTCACAAATTTTCCAGTTATCTTGAAAACTGTAATTTACATTAAATTATATAGTGTATGGGGCAGGAGTATTTTTTTTTTCATTTATCACTGTTCTTATGACAACGTCTGATTATTTATTGATTTATCAATGTTGTTTAATTATTTGTTGCATATTTGTCACCTGGGATCAAACTTTATTATATTTATTTTTAAATATCTACATTCAAAGGGAATTCCCATATTTTTCTTTAACCAGAGATGTGTTATTTTCTGTGTAACATGATCACTAGAAAAACACAGGGAATCATGGGTAATGGGCATTACCTATGGACTTAGCCAATAGACATTTGGGGGGGGGGGGTTGGATGATTTGGCAGTGTATATGCGAACGGTATTAGTATATATAAATATAGAGGTACAGATACATTATGTTGTGAAGAATTTTCTTTTATACTGCAGCCATTTGAGCTCATTTTTTTTTTCAAGTTGAATTTTTCTTAAAGCGTAATTACCTCTTCTTCTTTATTAACTTTATTTTCAGGATCTTGTAACTGGTACGTACCGCAAACCAGAGTATTTGTAAAACCATCGATTGGACACCATTCCACGGCGTCTGCGCTGTACTCACTGTCTATTTTGCACAATACATTTACGTCACTTTCGGTTTCGATCTTGTCATCGAACTCCGCCGACGCGTTTTTTCCAGGCGTAGACATTAACCACTTTACAAACAGATTTTACAAACTTAAAGTGCTTAAAATAGAAATAAATTGGTCCAAAAAATTATATTAGAAAAATAAAACACAGTAGAATCGAGAAACACGTGTAATCTACTTCCGGAAGCTGAGGTCACGGATATGACCTCAACCATATTTTTCTACATGCTTAAATTCTGTTAATAATCGTCATAAATTATACACATACAATACACGCAATTTTAATAATTATATTTAATTAAATATAACCATGAAATATATGTATATCAATATACATTTACTCGAATATTTGCAGGCGTATGTGCAGTCTAGCAATGCACCAATTACTTCCAAGATGGCGGCTAATCGCAACAGAGGCGGCGTTGAGAGAGTTCTAAAGAAACTGAAAGCAAGTGTCGAAGCAGGAAGTTATTATGAAGCTCATCAAATGTACAGAACGCTATATTTCAGGTAGATTACACTGCATGTTGTTAAATAATTTAATTACGCAGGAAACTGTTTTTCCCCGCCTCTGGCGATCATGATATAATTTACGACCTATATTTTACAACCTACGGCGAGTTCATCATCGTCAATCTGTGCCCAACACGATATCCATTGTACCAATTGTATTTTATTTTTTTGTCACAAAAACATAATTAAAAAGCAAGAAACTGTGTTAATGCACGTGTTTACGTTTTTTTTTTTGTAAATTAAATATAGTGGAGCTCGAATATCAACGGCTACGACATCATACATGTATATGGCAGCCGGAATTGATTGTTCCCAGGCTGTGGACTTCTACCCCCGCACACTGTAAAACTCGCAATAGTGTTATATTGGTTTCGGGATTAGAATCTATGAACGATAGTTTGCTTAACTGTGGCTCCTTTACTATGTCGAAAAGATTCGTCTTCTCCAATATGGCTATATGGGTCATTCACAAACAATTTGGCAATTGGCCAGAACTATTGATTTATTATGTTATATATATTCTGTAGAATCACAGAATATATTGTTATCATGGACCTTTGGCTAGGGTCTATGATATCATCAAAGAGTTATGAAATAAGGGCATACAACTTTCTTGAATTTGGTATTTCTTCCAGGTAGCAGGTCAACTCGACCCCAAGTCAACTCGACCCCCATATAAGTGTAGGTATTTTCCATATGTCGGTGTCGGTGAAATTTCACCGACTCCTGTGCACTGTCCCACAAAAACATTTGAAGGTTTTCCAGAATAGATATGAAGCAGATCTATTGTCAATGGATCTCTATTCAGCGATGAAATAACATACATAAGATACTACACTGCTCGCAAAATTAGGACTAAAAAAAGCCGCCCACGACCAAATAGATATTAGAAACAAAGTAACAAATCTCTGGCGCCACCATTGTTTAGTCAAGTAAAGTAAGTGGCATGAAACTACTTATTGATACACTTATCCACCCAATGTTGGTTTGCTTGCTTTAGTGTACATAAGTTAGTGAAATCAACAATGTACTAGCCATTAACCATAGCGCATAGAGGATATCTTAAGGTATAGATGCAGGTTCGTGGGCACTAAGAGTGAATTTTTTTTTTTTGCTTTTTCTTACTCAGTCTTGGCTGGATCGATAATGTTAATTAAAATTTCACAGCATTGTGAGTAGTGGAACATACTGCCAATATCTACATTAATATAGGGGTCGAGTTGACTGAGGTTGAGTTGACCAGAAGCCTTTCTTTCATATACCCAGGTAGCAATCAATAATTTTTTCCCCCTGCAGTCTAATCAACTCCCTCACAGTCATCATTGTTACAATTGTGTAAAGATTTTTAGGCTGCACAACAAAGGCCCTGAAACTAATTTGCATATTTAGTCGAGGAGAGTGGTGATTACCTAATTTTCCGCTTGTTCATACTGTAGTTAGCCAAGCCTAACTTGGAGATTAAAATTAGGGCACCCATGCGTGACTTATTTATTTTAGTCTTAAATATTTAGCTATGTGTTCACACACAAAATCATGTAGTGAAGCCGAAAATTTGGGCAAGCCAAGCGAAACCACCTACCTGAAATGAATTTTTTCACAGAAGAATTTTTACAAATGTCGGTTTGTTTTATAATTTAGTGATTATTTGCAATTAGTGCGATGTCTTTAATAGACAAAATTTGAGTTCCCAGTGTGTTCTATGGTTGGCCTTGTTACGGAACATGCTGACAATAAAAGGGGGATTGATTCGTTTTACAACCTGTAGTCAGTGAGCCTGTTTGCATCAGCTTTTTGTGTGTTGAATATACCGGTACATGCTTGTATGTTCATGCCAGAGTAGCTAAGCAACCAGGGGACTTTAGGAACCAAACAAGTCTATTTGCATAACAAATCACACACTTGCATAGCATCAACTTATGAATCTTATGAATATACGGTACATGTAGTTTATATTGAAACTACTTTTGGTACTAATGACTTATCCTTGTACATGTATCTTGTGCAAGTGATTACATTTTCCAAACGTTTTGAACAGCCATCTCAGATACATATATCCTTACCTGGAATATCTTGGTTGGTTGTCTCTTGAACTACATGTAACTAAAATAATAATTGAAATTTCATGATTTATATTGTTCATATACTTTAAAAAAAAGGTTTTTGCTTCCAATCATTGCCTGCATAAATAAAAATGAGGACCGCCATGTGTGTATGTTTATACCTGTATCCCAGACGTGTCTACATTGATCACATTAAAACTTGCAATCGAATTCAAGATGGCCACACATAGCCATTCAAGTATTTTT